TCTACAGTTACCTCACTTAATGGAATGCTTACTATATAGAACCAAGAAACATGTATGAGTTGCTTTCTGTTTAGGCTTGTCAGATACTTTTTACCTACATGCTATTTCAACAACATTTTTCATGGTGAAGCCTGTTGTCTGCTTGCAAATTTCTTTTTAGTGCAGGTGGCGTTGGAAGTAAATGAGTCAGTTTATGTGATCCTTGTCTCCTCTTGGACTCTGTATGTGCACATTGATGTGATTCTTTGGTTCCACTTACTTTTAAGTGGATTAGCCTGAGTTCATCTCTCATATGTGGTGTTTTCTTTCTGCTAATAATTCAAAGGAGGTTGAAGGTCACATCTCTGAATATCCTCTGTGTTTCTTCATTCACTGTTTATAGCTCATATATTTGCCTGGGACTTCCTTGTCTTCATTCACTGTACATAGCGTTTCTGTGACCACCTGTTAGTGCTGAGGGTGTACTGCTCAAAATTAACATGCAGAGAGCTTTCTGCTAACAATCCCTTATATGGTATGTCCCAAAATCATGAAGCAAAATCTCTCTATACTTCTAGTTAATATTTATATGGAGGAAAGAAGATCGAAAGCCATTAAGTTGTGAGGCTTTCTTTTCCAGAGTAGCCATAAAAAGAGAATCGAGGGGTCTGCACACATGAGTGCTCAAGTATATGCCTAGAGTCTAAGTTCCTAGTAATTTTTTCAGTTAGATTTGTTTTAATGAAAGAAGAATAAAGTCCTGAAGAGGGAACAAACATCAAAATCCCCTAATACAAGGGAGTGGACACTGTTGGCTAAGTGCTTCTCAGCATCTTTGAATTTACACCAATTTTCTTCCCTCTATTGCGTAATATATGCAGCTAAGAACTCCATAAAATAGGCACATTCCACGAGGTTAACTTTTGTCAACTTTTCCAGTCAACCAACTACTTTCGCAGGGGAATTTTCCGGCAGCCATCATAGATATTCAGCCTTTATAACACGGAGAAGGATAGGAGTTTCTTTAATGCCGGTTTCAAATCTTATGAGATCACGAGACTTGGTTCTGGGGTTGAAACTTGGTTCGAATGGGTCAAAAAAAAACACAGCAGATATTTAAGGAGACAAGTCACTTTTAGTTTAAATATTATTAGAATTTAGACGGATTGTGTTTGTCTTTAATATGGTATCCAAGAAACAGAAGTTGTTGGTTAAGAGGTGGAATAAGGACCACTATGCAGAATTCTTCTGTACCCTCAAGTACAATTTGGAAGACAGAGACTTTAACTCAACAGATTTTGAAGCTTCAATACCAGTCCCTCAAGAATCCAACAGCATGCAGATAAGTTTGATAGAGGAAGACATGGGTCCCATAATTGAAGCAGCTTTGCCTCTGAATTTCCAGAATACAGGAAGGCAAAAACATAAACTCGGGACACCACTTTGGGTCCATCAAAACATCCTAAAACTTAGCAAAGAGTGTGGGGTGGAGTTTCTAGGATGTGAAGTGGAGGCAATGCAACTCTTTGTGAAGATAGATGATAAGAGGCAATCTTACAAGGAGAAGGACCAGGGGTTAACAACTCCAAAGTAGAAGTGTGTGACCTGAACTGAAAGTATTGGAACTGGAGAATATATTCATGAGCAATGGAACTAGAAGTTGGGGAGGATATCTAGTCATAAAAGACAAATGAAGCTAAATATTCTGTCTTAGAATGTAAGGGGTTTGAATTGTCTGAGGAAAAGGGAACTAGTGAAGAGTTTGATTCGCACCTGGAAGGCAGATATAGTTTCGTTTGAAGAATCAAAGTTAGAGGGTGGTATAAGGGGGATTATCAAGGAGCTGCGGGCTAATAGAGGTGTGGATTTTGTACAACTAGAGGCAAGTGGGACTAGAGGTGGAATTATCATTCTTTGGGATAGTAGAGTTTGGGATGGGGACATTAGCCATATGGGAACCTAACTCAGTTACTTGTAAATTCTCAGGTAAGAGTCAGGACTTCTTCTGGCACTTAACTGGGGTTTATGCTCCAAATGATGGAAATGAAAGGGAAGAAGTAAGGTGGGAAGTTGGTGCAGCAAAGGGTCTTTTGTGGGATCTTAGGTGGCTTGTGGGGATTTTAATACAATTAGATTTTTCTCTGGAGCTAAGGACAGTATGAGGTGGCAAAGTGATAGTCAAGGCAAGTTTACAGACAAGACATCAGTCATAAGATACTGCCAAGAGTTGTGTCTGATCATACTCCCATTATTCTTGAGTGTGGGAGCTGGGAATAGAAGAATGCTTACTTTAAATTTGATAATTGGTGGCGGGAAATGGAGGGTTTCAATGATCAGATCCAAAGCTGGTGGTATTATTTCATGGTTCATGGATACCCTGACTATAGATTTAGCATCAAATTAAAGATGCAAAACAAGAACTTAAAGAATGGAGCAAAAACTATTTTGGGGAATTAGCAGACAGAAAAAAACAGCCTTCTCAATGAATTAGCCCTTGATCACACACAAGACAACAGAGAGCTCAATGAAGATGAATGATGATTAGAGCGACAATTCTAGTGGAAACTGGAGGAGCAAGCCAAGGAGGAGGAATCAAAGTGCAGACGGAAATCTAGGGTACTATGGTTAAGAAGGGAGACAACAACACCAATAGCACAAGGTTCTTTCAAAGGATGGCAACAACACACAAAAGGTACAACACCATTGACAGACTAGTGGTTAGGGGTGAGGAAATCCTGGAGCCTGCTGACTTAAAGATGGTCATGGTTGATTTCTACAAAAAAAGAAAAGTAGAGACCATCTTTTGAATATCATGATACCCCCAAGATCACTCAAGAAGAACAAGATTGGCTTCAGAGACCCATTCACAGAAGCTGAAATTTTTCAAACAATTAGGCAGTGCGCAGTAGACAAGGCCTCTGGCCCTGATGGTTTCATTATGGGTTTCTTCAAGAAGGCCTGGAGATTTTGAAAGATAGTTGATGCATACTATCCAAAACCTTCACCAGAATGAGATTTTTGAAAAAATCATTCAGTGCCACCATTATAGCATATTGATACCTAAGAAACCTGGAGCAAAAGAACTAAAGCACTACATGCCTATGAGCTTAACAGGAGGGGTATATAAAATTATCTCCAAACTTCTTATTGAGAGTTGAAGAAGGTTATGGGCTTCGAAGACCCATTCGCAGAAGCTGAAGTTTTTCAAACAATTGGCAGTGCGCAGTAGACAAGGCCTCTGTCCTTGATGGTTTCGTTATGGGTTTCTTCAAAGCAGGCCTGGAGATTTTGAAAGATAATTGATGCATACTATCCAAAACTTTGACCAGAATGAGATTTTTGAAAAATCATTCAATGCCACCTTTATGGCATTGATACCTAAGAAACCTGGAGCAGAAGAACTAAAGGACTACATGCCTATGAGCTTAATAGGAGGGGTATATAAAATCATCTCCAAACTTCTTATTGAGAGTTGAAGAAGGTTATGGGCAAGATGGTGAATGTCCATCAAATGGCTTTCCTAAAAGGCAAACAAATCCTAGATGAAGCTCTACTGTGAAATGAGCTAGTTGACTTAAGAATTAAGCAGAAGACTCTAGGGATCCTATGTAAGCTTGACATTGAGAAGGCCTTTGACCATGTCAACTGGTTTTTTCTTCTTGGAATCTAAGGAAATATAGGGTTTGGTTCTAAGTGGATAAACTGGCTAAACTTTTGTATATCCAGTGAATTCATCTTACTTCATCAAAAAATATATAGTGTGAAATTCTCGCTTTTGATCAATGGAAGTACTGGAGGTTTCTTTAGCTCTCAGAGAGGTCTCAGGCAAGGTGACCCTCTGTCACCATTCCTGTTTATCATTGTCACGGAGGGCCTTAATTCTATGATCAGAAAGCAAATGCAAATGGATGGATTGGAGGCTTTGCTTCCCAATCACTTAGTGACAGTGATTTAGAAGTTACACTATCTTCTATATGTTGATGATGCTCTAGTCTTTTGTGATGCAAAAGTGGAGCAAATTAGACACCTGAGGGTTATTCTGACCATCTTTGAGGCAATCTCTGGACTTCATGTCAATTGGAACAAAAGTTTCCTTCATCTAATTAATCAAGTGGATGACCTTCAACTCCTAGTTGGAAATCTAGGTTGCCAATTAACCCTCCTTCCCACAAAGTACTTGGGGATGCCTCTGGGGGCTAAGACCAAATCACAAGAGATCTGGAATTAAGTATTACAAAGGTGTGATAAAAAGCTAACAAGATGGAAAGCCAATACCTTTCCGTAGGAGGTAGACTGACACTCATAAATTCTATTATAGATGCCTTCCCGACATACATATGTCTCTTTTCCCTATTCCCAAAGGTGTAAGAAAAAGATCAATCAACTGAGAAGGGTCTTCCTCTGGCAAAGAAACAAGGAAACTTGGGGGTAATCTGTCTAGTTAGAAGGAGAAATAGAAAGTTGTCCAACTTGTATTTGGTGATAGTGTGAAAAGAGAGGAATCTGAGATGTTTGAAGACAAAGGAAGCTCAATCCAAGAAGGAGGTGAGTTGTTTAGTTTTGTACTACTTTTGGTGTAAACATGAAATTATAGAAAATGAAGAGTCTATTTTTGATGTCTTAGATTGCATTTAGAATCTGAGTCTGTTGCATCCTTTTCCTTTTAGTTGTACTTATAATCAAACTACTAACCGACACTATGAAAGTTTGGGAAAGGGTGGTAGAGATGAGGATGAGAGGTAATATAAGCTATACTGTCTTTTAAAAAAAAATCATCTTGGAGGTTGTGTAATGCTTACTCTCAAACTCTTCGTTTACACAGTAGTGATATTTTTTGTTTCTTTCTTCATCTTTGCATTCCTTTCTAATGTTCCCCAACGTAATCCTGGACATGAAGAATGAAATATAAAAGGTTTTCTTTGCTTGTTTTTAAATTTTTCTTAGGATTTGGTCTATCCTCACATTTAACTAAGAATAAGAAAAGAGGATTTCGAAATTTGAAAAAAAAATCAAGTCATCAACGAAAATAGAGGGATTTGAACCCTCGATATGATTAACTCGTACCACAAATTGGCAATCCGCCACTTTAGTCCACTCAACCATCTCTCTCCCAAATGAAAAAAAGATGATTATTACATGAGATAACACATAAGGAAAAGGAAAGAATCTTTCTTTCTCTCTTTTCTTCTTTCTATATTATATAGATATGTACAACTTTTATAATCAATTTCCTTTATCTCTTAATCTAAATTAAAGGAAGCACTCAGAAGAGCCAAGAATGTCAAGAAAAATAAAGATGACCTCTTTTCTTTGTCTTGATTTTGTTCAAAAGGACTCTCTTATTCTCATGGCCTGTTCTGGTCAGTATCCAGCGGGGCCTCTTTTGTTCCAACGAATTTGAAAACCAAAATGCTTGTCATAATTGTAATATTTCATTTTAATTGAATAGATAATATTCATGCAACAGAAAAAAATTCCCATTTTTTATAAAAGTAAAATAAAATATATAAAATAGAAAATTCGATCAAATAATGTCTCATTTCTCTTTACGCTTTTTGATTTTATATTTACTATCTTGTCGGACTAAAAAAGCTTTCGAGAAAGTTTAGCCGCACTCCAAGCACTGCGTAGGCGCACGAACCCTATGGATCCGTGGGGATATAACAAGTGAATGTGAACAAAACATGGCGATAAAACTATATATATATACAAGTTAGAGCCAACGACTAAGTGATACAAGTAACAAGTGAGACAAATATATAAAATAGAAAATTCGATCAAAATAAGTCTCATTTCTCTTTCTGCTTTTTGATTTTATATTTACTATCTTGTCGGACTAAAAAAAAGAAGCTTTCGAGAAAGTTTGTCGCACTCCAAGCCTGCATGAGGCGCACAAGAACCTATGGATCCCGATTAGGGATATAACAAGTGAATGTGAACAAAACATACAACTGATAAAACTATATATATACAAGTTAGAGCCACTGACTAAACTGATACAAGTAACAAGTGAGACAATTGACTTCATTATACAATACAACAGTGTCGAAGAAGCCTCTATTGAATACAGAACTTGCACAACTATCATATGGTGGGATAGGGCCTCGACATACCCATACTGTTACATATGTACAAATAAAATGAAGTACTAGACACATCCTAGCACTAGGAAGAAGGGGAGCTCACCAAATGTACAACTGAATGACAAGTGCCTAATGAGACTACATCATCAAATATCGCATTTATTTAAATGCAGAGCTCTTGGCCATAGGGACGTGCGTACATATAAAACATGTACTCGTATGTAAGGCAGACACAAAATAACAAGTGAACTAGTAAGGATGCTCAAGTGAATCAGGTATCAAACAAGAGCAAATGAAGACAAGTGAGTATCAGAAACACTATTTGAAACGGTAAACCATAACTTAGCATTATTAGCTCATTAGTCAGATGTCTTTAAAATATTCATTAGAAAGGGGGCAAGTAATAGTTTATACATGTAGAGTACAATGTCTTATGTCATTTCAAGTGATCAAGTTAATGGATAAGCATCAAGGGAAATCTTTGGCTCATGAATAGAATATGTCATCATTTACTTGTGAGTAAAAATCATTTGCAAGCTATTCAGTCTCATAAGTCTTGTAGCACATGAAGGCACACCTTAAAAGGTTCAACAAGTGAGGCTCGGTCCATAGACGGGTATGCCAGAAATGATCCATCAAGTGGAACAGTAGAACAAGTGCATCATGTTCCTACTGATCAAATGTACAAATGAGTAATGCCACAATAGGCAGGTAAGCTACTCATGGGCTCAACAAGTGAGGGTCTAGGTCTTAACCCAGCGTACGGGATCAGTGTCACGGTGGAGTCTGGGAACACGTCTACCCCTTCCTATTTTAGGATAATTATCAAATGAAGTAAGGCATAAACAAGTGAATCATGTAACAAGTGAGCCATATATGCATATATTAAGTGAATCAATGGAACAAGTGCATCATGTTCCCATTGACCAATTATATGAGTGGTGATATTTCTTCTTTAGCAAGTGATTCCTTTTAAACATGTGATAAATATACCATATGAGACATATAGATATTTCAAGTGAAGACAAGTACGACCATGTGAGTCATATGGATATTTCAAGTGAAGACATCAATGGAACAAGTGTATCATGTTCCCATTGACCAATTATACAAGTGATGGTATTTCTTTAGCAAGTGATTCATTTTAAACACATGACAAGTGTACTATATGAGACAGAGATATTTCAAGTGAAGACAAGTACGACCATGTGAGTCATATAGATATTTCAATTGAAGACAAGCTCCACTATGTGAGACATTATGGATACTCGATTTGTAAGGAGGAATAACAAGTGATAGGAACTTATAGACAAGTGGACAAGTGAAGTAGGAAAACAAGTGATGATCATGTATATAACATGTGACACGTGACTGAGTATATAGCATATGTTCTTTGGACCTCACTGACCCATATAAGTGAAACAAATGACATGGGGTCGTGCCTAACGGTGAAGGAGGTTTTAGCCTTACATACCTTGATTCGGGTAAACTATACATGTAGACCTTTCCTTTAAAGAGACCACAATTATCTATATCAAATGACAAGTGTGGAAGCTATATAAGTAGCTAACCAAGAAGCTCAGATGACATACACAATCTGCCAAACAGTAGCCGAGCCATAAGATCATAAACTTTCCAATTCAATGGTGTTCTTACACACTTTCTGCTCGCTGTAGCTATTTACATGAAACGACCCACACATGAGGTCTCCTGGCACTCCCTGGGCTTCAGTCTCTCTCTCTCTCTACATATATATACACACACACATACATATAACAGTGTACATGGGTCTCACCAAGCCAAAACAGTACATAAGCGAGTAACGAGCAAGAATCACGCACAGTCCACAATTTAAACGGTGTATCACCACTCTTCAATTCCGTGCATAACAACTTTACCCAACCATTCTTTTCGGCCAGCTACAACCTCCCATACTTCACAACACAATAAGACAGTCCCCAAACATCTCATATAACCAAAAAACTTGATCACCGTCCCGTGAGTTCCAATAAACAAGTATGTCTAGTGTGCTCAAATCAGCTTATAATTAGAGATGCAGGCAGCACCATACCTTGCTGTCTTAATTAGTTAATTTCCTTCAATTACTGCCCCTATAACCTTCTCCAAACCACTAAAATAGGAGAGGAAAATCATCACAAGCATAACATGAAAATGAGGAAGAGAACCTGAGCATATAACACAAAATTCTTACCTTAATATTTGGAAGAGAGTGATGGCTCCTTTTCTGCCGACACCTATGACTCTCTCCTTGAATAACTCTCTGATTTACTCAAAGTTGGGGAAGAGAGAAGATGATTTAGTGGACTGGTTTTAGTCAAACTTAAGAAACCTCAAGAACCCTAGATGGAAAAGGGGGTGGCTGCCTTCTTTGAGGGAGAGAGAGATTTGTAAGCTTGTGGAAATGTTTTATAAGTGTAAAATGCTTAGTTTAGCTGTTTTTATATATAT